TTGTTTAAAATTTTGTCATCCACTTTACAATCTTTATTCTTGATAAAATTGGTCAAAACATGCAATGTTCGAACCTATCTCTTACTCAAAAATAAAATGAGGGTGTTTTTGACATTGGATTATGGAGCTAAGATAAGTGGGGCTTGTTCATTAAAAAAAAAATAGGTGAAATATTTTTTAATTTAAAAAACAATGGATCTTTTTATAAATTTCTCTTGTTTCAAAATTTTCGAAAAATATTTCTCTTTTTGTCATCTTAACATTTTTTCTTTTTTGAGCTTTATTATGCCTTTTTCAGCTTTTTAATAGTAGGTACCAACTTTATACTATTGAAGTACAGCACACCTCAAAAATCCTCTAGAAAGTGCTCCAACATTGGAAAAGACCCTCTAATCGATCAACTCGACTTTGAGAAGTATAGATATGAGTAAAAGAAAATTTTAGTATTAGAAATAGAGCAATTTGTAACAAGTTATTTGGCCCGTCTCTTTTTACGGTTTTCAAACGCTTTATAGATCTGGTTGATCTGTACCTTTTTAAAATTTTAATTTTATGACTAAAGAAGAGATATATTTACATGTCATCATCTTTATTGGAACTATATCTCTGGGGAAAATTTAAAGGGGTGCCTTACTTCTCCGGTATAAGAGGTATAAAGAGGGTGTACTATACAAATCTCACCCTTCTCACAATCTTTGTACAAAATTACCATTTTTCCCTTAATTTTGAGGTTCCAGGCACATGTCATGTTTCTTGCTACAGTGGGATAAGGACGGTTTAGAATGCAGAAGAAGAACACGATATTGTGGACACTTGGCATGAATTCATAAACCAACTAGGGATTTTTGGTAATGTTTTTTGAAGTCTTTGTAAGGATTTTATTCAAACACATGGGGGAGATAGATAGGCTTGCGAAGGGTTTTCCCTTGGTTTTCGCCTTTGATGAAGACTAAGGCTTGACTTCAGTTGGTCTATCACATCAAGGTTGGAAACGGCACCTCAATTGATGTTATGTGGGGGTCAAGACATTGAAATGGAACTCTTTTCTAATCTACACGGACCGGTGGCGTTGGATTGCCTGTTTTGATCCAGAACGGAGCGGTAACTTGAGAAATAACAATAAAAAATAAAACAATGTAAAAAAAAAAAATTGAAATGGAAAAACCAATTAAGAATGAACAAAAATAGAAAATAGGGGGGGTTTTAGGTAGGGGTGGCAATGGATCAGGTCCAGCTAGACCTGGACTCAAACCGAAATAGTATTCGGGTACAAAATTTGGACCCATACTCAGACCCATCGGGTCCTGGATCTACCCATCGGTTCTCAGGTTTTGCTGAATCCATTGCAACACTATGACTGAGTCTTTTTTTTTTTTCCCTTTTCTTTACCATCATTTACCCTATGATCATGAGCTTCGTTTTTGTTTACATTAATATTGTAAATATTGCTAATATTGTGATAATATGAACACCTAACGCGCAGACACATGATTGCCATCATACACCCTATGAGTACGGGTATGGGTCGGGTCCAACATGACCCAGTCCCGTACCCGAATAGTATTCGGGTCCAAAATTTGGATCCATACCCAGACCTGAGGTCGGGTATACCCGTTGATTCCTGGATCTGATCCGGTCCATTGCCATCCCTAGTTTTAGGGGGGATTGGAGTGGGTCCAATGCTCAACCAAACCTAGTTTTGTTCCCACTAATTTCCAATTCAAATAGCATAATTCTCTATCCACATCGTAATTATGGGCCACTATTTGTTGTGGAATAGAGGCACTTTGCACGTCCTATGTGCATTAGTATATAAATTCAAATAAAAAAATAAATATAAATACCAATATAAAGGAAATTTTTTTTATAAGGCATCAAGCTATACGATAAAAGTAAGATACATTTCAAAAAAACATTTGAAAACGGTTGTCATGATGGTAGAACATCCTCAAGTAATCATCTCGACTTTAAGAAATATAGATATTAAAAAATAATTTTAAGTTCTAAAAATAATAATACATCTTGTAATATATTATCTGGATTGTCAATTTTAAAAAAATTCAAATATTTATAAATTTACTCAATTTGCACAAATTCTAAATACTTAAATTTAAAAATTAGGTGTAGAAAAAGAGGTTTTAGACCATCGTACAGGTTTTCGGCACCATAACTACATCTTCAAACAAGATTTGGAGGTGCGCCTTTTTTTTTTAATTGTCTAAGGTTGATGTTTTATATAAACCGCACCCAAATACAAATGGAACACAATATTTATTTATTTATGCTCAATACTATGATATATCTAACATACCCCGTTTCTATAATGTCAAGCCCGCATATGTAGAAATGTGAGCCTCTTAATAAATCTATTTTTGAGATGGATTCGAAGACTTAAGTTTTAAGGGCATGTAATCTCTAACATGGAGATCATGAATATGGAAAAAATGAATAAATTTTAGAAAATAAAATTAATAATTCTAATAAAAAAACATTTAGACTATTAGTTTCTATTGTTTTTAGATGGAACACCTACTTGCATCCATCTTTAAGATGGATGCTTTACATTTTCTGGACCGCATATGTAGAAATGCGGTCCAGCCCTTATGAAACAATTTTCCACATCTAAATACAGCAAAAAAAAATGAAAAAAAATAAATAAATAAAATAATGTGCACAAATCCACTAGATAGGATGGGGTTACACATCTTTTTGTGTACCTGATAATGTTTTTGTTTTGGTCCCTCAAGTCCTCATTTTTTATGAGTTGAAACTTATTATCACTACCTTAAGTCTCCCTCTTTATGCAAATCCCTGAGCTTGTTAGTGATGTGATGCAGGGAAGAGAGGTAATAAAATAAATTTAACTAGAAAATTGAAAATGAAAACTAATTGTGACAGAATATACCCTTAATGAAAGAACCCAAAAAGATTTTCTCTTCGTTCTCATTTTTGTCCAATACTGTCATTTTTGTATAAGAAAACCCTAAAACCTAACTCGTTCACTGAGTAATTATACTCAAATCTGGGAAGTCAAATTCATATATTACCCTCTCTAATTTGGGTACAAACTAAATTAACTTGAAACCCTAAAGAAGAACTTTCTATTTCTAAAAAAAAGGGATAAATACTGTCTATTAAGAATATAAATAAACTAAAAAGCCTAAGATAAAGCAATAACATATCTTAAAAAAAGAATAACATATCTTAAAAAAGAAGAAAGATAATTTACTAACCCTAACTAATTTTTATATTAAAGAAAACTAATTATATTTTGAAGAAGAGACTTCTTGTTAAAGGAGAATAATTTTATTTTTAATATTTTTATGAAATTAAAAGTAGTAGAACTCAGTGTCTCAACTCGGATTTGGCAAGTGTTTGAGTGGCCAGCAAGTTTAAACACTTTTGTTCTTTGAAGTTTTCAATTAGGCTGCTGGGCTGCCCGGGCCGCAATGCCAAGGTCCCAACCATTATATTTGGTCCAAGGGCCAGGCCGGCCACTGGCCTGAAATTTAGGCTCGGTGTCTAGAACAAGCCGGGCCTGAGCTAGGAGTCTTGGCTTGGCCCAGCCTAATGTTGTTTCTTTTTCTAATGAGTTCAGGGACAAAGTTCATATCCATTGGCCCGGCCCGACCCCATTGTCAAGCTGAGTCATAGCACTTAACCCAATAGTAGGGCCAGGCCTTGCCTAGGGCTACTTTGGGATGGTACAATCAAGGCGAAAGCCAAAACTCTAGAGTTTTGGGTTGCACTTGACCCAACCCTAGCATGGTTCGGGTCCGACTAGGTTCCACCCATAAGTTCAATCTTTAGACATTAGAACTGTCCACGTCAGCTTTGCGTGCTTTGAATTAAGGCCATGAGAATTTGAGACCAAGTGTTTAAAGTATGTGAAAAGAATACAATGAGACCACTTACCTTTGGTACAAGGTGGTCACAATTAATCTTGACCATTAGATATGGAATTAGGTGATTGCATATTTCATTGACCAAGATCAAACTCCAAAAAGGGGCTGGGGTTATGGTGGTAACATCCCCACACCCAGATACCACATCGTGGTATCCATTTCTACCGCTAACACCTCCAATTAATACTTTCAAAATGTAACTCCCTAATCTATTGAAAAAGTGGGTCGGGGCATATCTTCCCTATTGAATTACCCAAAACAAAAAAGAAGATCAAATTCCAAAAGAAATTTCCTGAACTTTATGACAAACCAAAGGGTATCAGATTTCACATTGAATGGTTATAAGAGTGGGGTTCTCGGGAACCCCTAGCTTGCGAAACCGGGAATTCCAAATACTGAGATCTCACCCAAGATCTTGTACATGATTGACTAAATACAAAGTAAACGAATACAACTATAAATTGAGTGTGAGAAATAGAGCAAACATAAAAATCACACCACAACAATATACAATTTACAGGGTTCACCCCATAAGGTTACATCCATGGCCTCGGCAATTAGAAATCCACTATCACAATGAAGATTACAGTTTTAAGTTACAAGAGCTCTCAAAGCATCGTTAAAAAACTATCACCGATCTTCTCTTCTAAACCACCTCTCCCGACCGAGCAATACCAGCAATCAATACTTTCTTTCCCACCGTAATACCGCTACCGGAAAGATAACCTCGATAGCAACCGAGAGACTTTCTCTCTATAAAAGTAGAAGCCCTAATCCAAAACTCATGGGAATACCGCCTCTCTTTCGGAAGCGCTATCTCTCTCTCTCTTGGAGACCCATCTCCATATTGGAGAACTATTTCTATAACCCCAAAAAGGTGACCCTCAAAGGATGGATATTATGTCTTCTTTGATTCCTTTATATAGATTTCACTTTCTTGCTTCCCAAAAAAATCTCTTTTCTTTTTACAATAGTACCTTTAATCTTCTAGAAAAAAATATGGGTACGGTGATTTAGCTATCACCTAATTGTTACCTTATATCAAAAATAAATAGTCTTCATATACAAACCCTTAGTATGGGCAAGTCGTGAAAACATGAGGATACATTGAGACTAAATAAAGATGCAAAGCTAACAAAAATATAAAGGGGACTATATAAATATGCAACCATCTTCCAACTTTTACTTGAAGCAAAACTCGTACGTAGCCATACAAAGCCCCTAAACCAAAGGCACATAGCGTGCATACAAGGTGGCAGAGGTTTCATCAAACCCTAACTGTCCTATACTAGGCCATACAAAGCCCCAAAAACATGCCACAATGGGTTCTTAAGGGCAAAAGGTGACCCTATAATTAGTCCCTGATGGACAAGCAAATTTACCAGCACTAGCATCATCCTTAGGGTAGCTGTAAGCATCTGGGCAACGATCCTTGAAGAATTGAGAGTAATCAGTAGGCCCACAAGTTTGTGCGGCAGGCCCAGGGCAACAATATTGGTCGGTCTGAAACACAGTGCAAGGACCTTGGCATCCCCCCGGGACTTGTAGCTGTGTCGGACACTGGCCATTTATGTCTGCATTACAAGTGAGTGCTCTGCAAAGGTCTCCATTGCCCGCGGTAGGGGTAAAGACCATAGGGAGGTTGAAACCTTCTATCAAAGAGATGTCATAGAAGTCCAAGTCCTTTAGGGCGTATTCCGCGAGCGTTGCGGGGGGGTTTTCCCCAACCCTGGCACTCGAGGAGGCCATTGCAATCACCAGTCTCGCAGGATCCACTGCTGCCCGAATCAAAGTTGCAATTAGTGCGGCCCCAGATCCTAGCCATCGTAGTTCCTGTGGGCACGTCAATTGGCCATGACTGGCCAGGGTCGAGCCGCCGACCGCCCCCAGGGCTTGCGGCAGCCCACACTGTGAACGAGCATTGGTTCCGGATCTCGAAGGTGGCCCCTTCAATGGCTATGAAGTGGGCACACAAGGTGATTAGGAGGAGAGTGAAGGGGAGGGATGGGTTTGCCATCTTTAGAATTCGATGGTAAAGATCATTGGGGTGACTTGATATTTTAGATTTGGTGCAACTGCAAGTGAGGTTTATTTATGGTTTGCTTGGTGCCCAAAAAAACACTTTACTTAGACTTTGGGTCAACGGATAATGGGACATACACAGAGAAAACGAGAAGAAGACTAAAAAAATGAGAATATATCCAATTTACAAGGGTAACATCGTAATTTTATCGACACAACCCAATAAATAGGATTTTTTCTATTTTCCCGAATCGCGCCGATATACTAGCGCTTGTTTTCAAAATTTTGTAGGATTCTATGTTACGAGACTATTTGTCTTTGGTACAATGACATTACAAGTACTCCTAGTCATTGATGTCAAATTTGATGGCTTGGGGCATGTCACGAAGTTCAATAATTTTTTTTTGAATTTTGACAACAATCAATTACATTCTTACAACCATCCAATTTGAAATTTGACCGGCACTAGTGATTTTAACCTCCTTGTGTCAAAAGTAAATGGTCTTTTGTATACTTTCTTATTTTTAATTTATGTAAAGATTTTTTTCACACTTCTTTTCCTTTTTTTAGAAAATATTACTTTGCAATGTTACACATGAAATAGAAGTTTTTATAGATTTTCGACACAAAATACACGTTAATAGAACCTTAAAAATAAATACAAAAGAACTAATATGTGCCTTTTATCTCATTACTTTCCCTTACTTTTACCTCATCGATTGTCTTCCCATTTTCTGCTTGAGCGTGTCTACTGTGCTCATGCAAGAGTATTCTGTGCAATCTACTCTCTTGCTCAGAAAATCTATTTAGGAGGAACTATTTTTAGTCTAAAATTTTAGGAACCATACAAAATTACAACATGATTATTTTCAAAAGAAAAATTTTAATTTTGAGTTTGTGACAAGCCTTTCAAAAATAAACACGGTCTCTATTGAATCTTGAGGCATTATTTTTGTCCTAGTATATAAAGAGTTTATTTTATATCAATTTTTAGTAAGATTAGTCGATACATTGTCGAGATTACATTCTTAAAATTTGAGATCTAAAAATTATCTCTAGCATGTATTTTGCCCGAGAGAGTAAATGGCTAGTATGCTCTTGGGGAGGAGGAAATCTTTTGGAGTTGTCTAGAGAATTTTTAATTTTTTTTTTTTTTGCGAAATTTAACCAACAGCCAAGTTTACCATTATACCATCCTATGAAAACAAAATTACTATTTTACCCCTCAATTTTGAGGGTGCCAAGCCCCTCCTTTCGTCATTTAGTGTTACACGCTATTATCTACACTTGGCAAAGTTTGTTAAAGTCTTCTAAAGAAAATTCAAACACATTAGGTGATTGCCTTAATAAGGGTTGATTTTCCAGGTAAAGCATGACTTTACTAACATAGTTTCAATTTTGGAAACGGCACCATGTTGATGTTACATGGGAACGTTCCCCTCATTAAAGAGGCGTTTGATAACCGTGTAAAGCGGTGAAAAGTGTCTTTTCACCTATTTAGCAATGGTAAAATTGGGGGAAAGTCGGAATATAAGTTCTTCCAATTCATTAAAATTGTCGTTTTGGGTACTCTAATGTTGTTATTTTCAGCGAAACTTATGCCATCAGTGAAAGTTAATATTGGGACAGTGGCGTTATAATAATATATATTATAATATATTAATATAAATATTATAATATGTTATAGGTATCGTCTATAAAAAAACCATTTGTTTTTTTATATATGAAAGTCATTTTTGTTCCTTAAATTTCAAAATGGGCGGCTGTAAGAGTATCATTGAACATATACAAAATTCCAAAAACAAATTTTCAGACTTTCAAAAAATATTTCTCGGACTATGTGTCATTAATATAAATAATATATTATATATAATATAGATTATAATATAATTTAATAATATTATAATATAATATAGATTATAATAATATTATATTATATTATATTATATATTTTATTAAATTGTATTATAATAATATTACATATTGTAATATAATATATATGATATTATTATATTATATAATATATTGTTATAATGTGTTATACATAATATAATATTACATATAGGGTGTGGTTTGTATAAAGCCTAGGCTCTAAACAATCAAATTAGAGCCTACCTTCAAATAGTATCAAGAAATGTGGTTTCAATACTGGAAATTTTTGTAATAACATGAAAATATATTTTCATCTTTATTTATAAAATTTAAAGCTTCAAAAATAGTGTAGATCGGCAGATCTATAAAAGCATGAAACCCTTGCAAATTGACGGTCCAAAACTGAGTTACAAAATACACTATTTTCAAATTTTAAATCCATTTTTTTCTCATGTCCATGCATCTTGATGTCGAGATGATCAATTCAAAGATATTTGGGCATCAAAACAACCTCTTTCAGTGAAATTTTTGAGGTAGGCTCTAATTTGATTGTTTAGATCCTGGGCTCTATATACACTTTTTCCTTACATATAATATATATTATAATGGGAAAACACTACAAAACGCCTATAGGTGAAGTTCTACAGTACTTCACCTACGGCTTTATCACCGTTCAAAGTTTATCACATGGTCACAGATGTCTAATAGTGTCTGAATTTTAATATTATTTTTACAAATCATAATTATTTAAAATTTTGTAAGTGTGAGCACCTTAGTGAGATGTACATGAATAAAATACAAATAATTTGAATGATAAAAATTACACAAAATACCCCTATAAAGTTTAATGGGTAATTTCAATATTTTATTTAATGACTATTATTTTTTAAAAAATTTATTTTGGTGCGACTTGGTCATATGTACATACGTCCCAAATTTTAGATAAATATGATTAGTACAATAATTATAAAAATTCAAATAATACCAGAAACTGTGACTGTGTGATGAACTTTGGACGGTGATGAACTTCACTTGTAGGCGTTTTGTAGATGCTTCCATTATAATAATATATGATAATATAATATAATGAAAAAAGTTTATATAAGGTTGCAATCTTAAAATGTAGAATTACTGATACACCTCAAAAATCCATTAGAAAAGGTTGTTTTAATGTTGAAAAACCCTCTAATCGGTCATCGCGACATCAAGATGTATGAATATATATAAAAAAAAGAATTTGAGTCTAAAAAATAGTGCATCTTCCAATATATTATCTAAACCGTCAATTTTCAATATTTTCATATATTTATAGATCTACTTGATTATTTTAACCAGTTTTGGAGTTTAAAATTTTATAATTAGATATAAAAATAGATTTTCAGATAATCTTAAGAATTTTCGACACGAAAATTACATGTTATGGTAAAATTTGGAGGTGCACCTTAATTTGATTGTTTAATAATACAACCTTATAGAAACCACACCCTAATATAATACACCTCAAATATAAATGTATTTTATCGATATAGATGACATGTCTTGTAGAAAGAAATAAATATTCTAACCTTAACAGTGTCTCATCGCATATAAAATATATAGAGATTGTCAACAAAGAGACCATTTATCTTTTGTAGATGGAGGTCACATAGTAATATCCCAAAACTGTTGACGAGGTCACAAAAGCGATATCTCAGCATTGTTGACTCTCAAGAAAAATGGCACGTAGGGAATGTGTGTATGGATTCTCCATACCCCGTTAGATGTTGTATTGGACGTGTTATCGAAATCGAAGGTGTTTTCTAAGATTGACTTACAAAGTGGGTATCATCATATCATAATTCGACCTGAAGATGAATTGATAAATTCATTCAAGAACCGAGAAGCGTTATATGAATGATTAGTGATGACTTTTGGTTGTCTAACGAACCCAAAACTTTTATATGGGTTATGAATCAGGTGCTCAAACCATTCATAGGGAAATTTCTTGTGGTACATTTCATGGGCTAGCTACATTTTATCGGCAATTTATTAAAAATTTAAGCAGCTTAGTAGTTTTCATTAAATATTCATTAAAGAAAATATTTCACAAGCAACCGTCTTGGCATTATAGAATTTTGGCAAAATTTGTAATTTGATCATGAGCCCTTGAGGTTCCTAAGCATTTTGAAAATTTTGAATAGAAGCTATACCTAATGGGTTTCATACCTACTAGGATTCATTTTTGTGATTGCAAGAATTCACTTTGAAATAGTCCCGCAACAATATGCTACTAACCCTTATTTTCTTGAAATTATTGAAAGACACCACAAGGGGACCCGGAAACTATTAAGCATGATGTTGCTCTTGAAGCATTGCTTTAATATAAGTTCCTAACATTTGCCAAAAAAAACTATTAGGCATGATGTTTTACAGGGGCGGTTTTTTTTTCATGGGAAATCTCTTTTGCATACCATATGGCTCCTTGAGGTTGAAAATACACTTTGAATTGCATGGTGGTGGACTGGAAGGTCACTTCGTAATTTGTCTCCAACTTACAAGGGTAAGAGCATAATTTTATCAATGTAACTCAAGTAAATAGGTGGTTCTCTATTTTCCCTAAACACACTAATAATTCTAGTGCTTGTTCTCAAATTTTAATTTGTGCAAAGAATTATTTTTGCTGGAAAAGTATACACAAATACCATTATTTTTAACACAAAAATGTCACATTATGAGTTTCAATTCGGGTATAAGGGTTTTTTTTTTGTTTTTAGTGATTTACGTATGGGCCCGAAAATATTTTCTAAAATATAAAATGCTCCATTTATAGACAGAAATTACAAAGTAGGTCGGTCAAGCCACGTTTTTTTTATTTTTTCCAAAATTGCTCCTTGGTCCAAGGATGGAATCCTCGGTCTAAATTTTAACTTGAATTTTTTTTTTTGTTTTTTTGTTAGTAGGGCAATGCCGCAAGCTTTAGGACAATGCTCTACTAATGAGAAAAAACTAAAAAAAATAAAATTAAAATTAAAATTCAGTCCAAGGATGTCCTCGATTGAGGAGCAATTTTGGAAATAATAAAAACAAGAGGTTGACGTACTTTTCTTGAAATTTCCACCTATAGATGGAGCATTTCGTATTTTAGAAAAAAATTTAAGGTTTGTGCGAAAATTGCTCTCTCTCTTTTTTTTGGAACTTTTAATAGGATTTCATAAAAAC